AAATTATAATTTGAAACCTAATCAATAAAATTAATAAAAATTACTAAAGTTAATAAAAAATATTAATTTTTAGCTAGTTTTTATATAGCAACTATTAAAAATTAAGAAATTAATGCAAATTAGCAGTTCATAAATTAAAGATTAATATACATTCTATTTAAAAATAAATAATATCAATAGGATAATTAATATTAATAATATAAAGTAAAAAATATTAAAAGTAATAAAAAACCATTTGCATTCCATATAAAAATTATAAAAATTAATTAAAATAATAAAACTAATAATGACCCAAATAGAAATGCCATAAGACTCCTACTTGGGGATGATCATTTATAAATTAGCCCAACCAGCTAGACCTATAATTTTTTTTGGCTCAAGCAACTATTTTCTTCTAATCTAGGTCTAGCTTGGATCTACACCAAACCCACACATAATGTGGACAATATGTTGTAAATGGATTAAATTCAGATATGGTCCAGCTTCATCCATATCCACATCTGATTTTTATGTCAAATTTTGGATTGAACTCAAACTTCATTCGCAACCATCTTATTGTGCTTAAAATGATCATAAAAAAAGTTAAAAAAATTAATTATTTAAAGTATATATGTATAATAAACATATGTTAATATAAAATATTAAACTTACCAATTATAATCTTTATATAATTATACATAATATCTATATGTATACATAATTATACTACATATATACATAAAATAATACTTTTATTGGACTTAGATTTTAATCAAACCAGATTGGGTTAAATCCAACCCTATTTGAATATTAATTGGATGCAAGTTGTAACATCCAAATTTGGGATAAATGGATTCAGAGTTGAATTGGGTATCAAACTTTTGGAGTCCATTGACAGCCCTATCAGGTAGGGCTCAAGCTAAGCAACCCCTAAGCCCAACATAGAAGTTACATATATGGTAAATATTATTAATATAATATTTAGATAACAAATTTCATATTAATATATAGATAAAAAATTTTATATATTTTTATAATGGACTAAAATTAAATAAAAATTTTAACTTATAAAATATCATAATTTTATAATTAATACAGGTGAGCCTATCCCCATCCCAGGGCATAGACAAATGTTATTATGCTTGGGGTGTGGGATAGGCTAGGCCAAATAGCCTTAAAAACTGTTATTTCACTATCAAAATTTGGCCCAATATCTTTTGCTTTTTTTTTTCAATTCATTGGGCTACACAATGGGGATAGCCCATCCCCCATAGCTCSTTGGCTTTGATATTAGTAATTTTTAGGGTTTGACTATCATACTGGAAAGACATGATATTGGAAAAAATTACAGCCAATCAACAGGTATCATAAAAGATGTGACCAACTAGGTGGTATACATCAAATTTAAGTGGATGCTTTGATTAGTCAAATCTCTTCCCATACCATGTCTTTCCAATATCATAGATTTTCCCTAATTTTTATCTAAAATTAGTTAAAAACCCAAAAGTAATGCATGCATGAATTGTACTTGGTTTAGTTCAATCCATTTACATGTTAGACAGTTATGCCCTTAGCTCCAATCAGATTGATGTATTTGTTGGCATTTATTGTAAATGAATAAAGTACATAATTGATTCATGTTATTATGGTGTGTTTCTATGTAATATTCTTAAACTGGACACTTATGAAACTCGTGTTAGTTTAGAATCTTCATAGCCATTGGATAGACCTGGGTAAGTTTATTCTGCCAAGGCTGATAGTAATGTGCTGCCAATAAGGTTGAGGTGGTTTGTCTCAACTACCAGGGTGAGACCTGAAGCACATGTAGTGTGGGTTTGATTGAAACTCTGAACCAGACAATTTTCCAGTTATGCTTTGGACCTTGGAGACAGATAGGCAAATTGAAAAGTTATGGTACTACTCTAGGTGTTGGATTGAGTTGTCTTTGATATGTCAATTAGTGAGATCCTTAGTGGGGGTCAAAACCTAAGTATGTTGGGTCAGTCCGATCACATGAGTGGGTGATCATAGTGACAGAATCAACCCCTTTATTAGACAAAGTGAATGATCGGGGAATGCACTCACTCTGATGGAAACCTAAACTACTGGCAGTTGATTTCAAACTTGTTGAGATTTATTTTTGCAAAATATATTTATATACATATATACATATATATTATGGTTTCACAAAATGTTTGCAAAAGATTTTAATTCCCGGGATCCATGTGAGCAGATAGTGCAACACTGTACCTTGTAGCTGAGAGAAAGATCCTCTCTTGTCGAGTAGTGTTTGATCATTATGGGCTGAAATGTTACGTGTAAGACCATTGAGGGTAATACCTRATGGGCTAAATTTTGCATTTACCCATAGTCCTTGGGCCTTCATAAGGTGGCTGGACCCAATGACCATTTAGTGTAAATGTTGGGCCTACTAAGAGCCTATACTGATGGCCTCAGTGGTTCACTGTCTTTAGTAGTGAATTTGACCAGGGCCTTGTAACAGAGGCTGTGTTGAACCCATATAGCTTTTGTGTAGATCAATGTTAGGGTCTCATACCATACAAAAAGAGTCAAACTAACCAACATTTAAAAGGGAAAGTGAGCCATATGACTTAATGGGCCTAAAGCCCATTTTCGAACTGGGTTTAAGTGATGTAATTAAATATGGCGAATCTAGTTCATAATCTGATTAGTATCTACAGTAGGATAAGATAAGTCTTATCTACTTAAAGAGTCCAAATCCAAATATCAAACTTGAGTCAAGAAATTCCTTCTTAATTGGATAAGGAAGCTGATCCTGAGAAAGTTATAAATAAGAGAGACGAATTGCCACCCCTGCCCAATTTGATCTCCATTCTTARAATTGATCAAGATTAGATCTTGATATTATTTCTTGCTAGAAGAAACAATATGAAGTCGTGCTCACAACCCCTTGCATGATTCTTGCTGAARAATTAAGGTTCTTATTGAAGAACCTCTTTGCCGATCCTACTTAATCCTAAGTTGTGTCATCTTTAGTGGAAGCGGATTTTGGTGACCTCTTTGGACGTGAACACTTACGTTGGGAGTTATTTACATTGATTCTGTATCATATATATCCATCTCCCTCTTTTGGTTTTAGATCTGGTCCGGTTTATTTCAAGAACAAACTTTGAAATAATTTTTCTAAATTAAGGAATATGATTCCCGGATGGGAGAAAATTTTTTTTTGAAATTTCACCCAACCACCCTACATGGTTCGGTCATCCATATGATGGATCTCACATCCCTTCATTACGAATGTCACATTGCTCTTAGGGGTGCAACTTGGATGAATTGGGTCAGGTAGAGGATCGACCCAACCCAACCTAAAGTCATAAACATAGAGCTTAGGCGTAGATTAATTTAATTATGACTACAACCTAATATGATATATTTATTAACATTTAAATATTTTAAAACATTTAAGTAATATTTATAAAAAAATGTAACATTTAATCACTAATAAAGTAAAACAAATAAAATAGAACACCAACAAAAAATATAGAAAAATAATTATTTTATTAAGTAATTAACAGTAATTTAATTATTTATTGGTTAAAAGCTATTGATGTAAATAATCCAAATTAGTAAATTATTTTTGTAACAAATTTATAAAATAAAGATTAATTATTTTGAACATGAAATTTCTTCCTTAATGGAAGAGAAGAAGTTGCAATACACTCTTTAATACTCAAAGCTGCAAAATTAGAATCAGCCTTATATAAATTAGAAAAAACAGTATAAACAGACTTTAAAAACCAAGTTAGAAGGCCTAACAATATTATTAAAACTTCGATCATTCCGAGTTTTTCAGATGTAATAGAATTCTACCGCCAAGATAAAATTCTTTCGAACTTCTGATTGTTCATTCCCATATCTTAATCAAAACGAAAAACTCTTTCAATGTATTGCATTGATTCCCTGTAAAGTTAAAAGACACCAATGACTCGGAAACAAAACCACACGAGCAAAAGAACCAAAAAAAAAAAAAAAACCGCGATGTAATCTTGGAGGAATACTTCATACACAACTTAGTTTTCCAAAAACAAACGACCAGATTTCCTTTCAAACAACCAATTGTGAACTTACCATTCGCATCATGAATCCAAACAAATTTACCAGAATTTCTATTAGCAAAAATACGAGTGTTGAAGAGGTATAAGACATTAATCCTTTTACCAATAACAGCAAGACATAAGACATAAGKTTGTTGAAAATTTTCAGATAGCCCTTGAAGATTCCAATTAGTCGAGTCATGACAAATCAAATCTCTGACCTGCAAATCTTTGAACCCGTAGGTACTATTTATTTTTGGTAATTACTTTACCTTTTTTTCCCCAAAGTGCCGGCTGCGGATTTGATTCCACATCAATGCTGAAACAAATCAGCTAACACACCAACGAGCCAGCCCTCGGTTGGTGTAGATACTTTGATAGATCCATCTATAGCTATCCAAACAGTATTCCAGACTTTATAAGTGGAATTTGGATCTCAATTGAAAGAAATAAGAGCCTGTTTGGTTGACAGGAATAGGGTCTGGAATCGGAATCAGAATGGACCATTCAAATTCTAACTGTTTGTTTAGACTTAATCGGAATCCCATTCCCATTCCTGGTGGAATGGCCATTCCRTCCCTCCCCCTCCCTTTAAAATGAAATCCATTCCAACTGATTTCAATTCACATTCCAATTCCTGTCTAAACCAAACAAATTTTGGTAATAGATTATTCCAATTCCAATTCGATAGATTTTGATTTCAATTCTGACTGCAAATCAAACGGATCCTAGATACATTAACACTATAGTTGGAGCTTTCCAAAACGGAACCAGCTACAAACCATAGATCTATTAACAAAACCCGTCCTTTTGAAACCCAACCTACCATTTTTGGAACATAATTTATCCCAGCTTACCAAACGTTCAAAACACTTTTTGGCTCAAAAGCAAAAGCTTAGAGACTTATACGTGACGACTTAAAAAAGAAGTTTAGAACTTATCATATACATCCAACCACACTTGCCCTAATGTTCCCATTATGTATAGAATCAATATAGATTGTATGGACATGGATGAATTAATGTATACATTTAAAAACAATGTATGGTTTTGAAAAGACTCGTTCGCAAAAGTAACACACTTGAGGAAGATGAAGTTAAAAGGAAAATCAATCTGAAGGACTTTATAACATACAATCATGTTTATTCATCGGAAACTAATATTTACAAAGATTGGAAAGGGATGGCTCACTAGTCACGAGAGGGGTTCAAGAAAAGGGCAAGTCATTGCAGCTCAAGAAGTTGTCCCATATCAATTTCAAGGTATCCTGAAGCATATCAGTGACAGGGCCTACCTCTGCCATATGATCCTGAAACTCCAAGAATGGAAAGATGACTCATCAAATCTTTCTATAAAATATATGAATGAACATGATCTACTAAAAAGATGCCATCTTATATCCTGAAAAGGCAATGAAAGTTGTAAAAGGCAATGAAAGATGGCATCTTTCATTCTTATTTTATTTCATTCATTGCAATAGAATATCTTCTTAAAAGGCAATGAAAGTTGTAAAATCATTATTTTTTATGTGAGAAATAAGAATTTCAGACCCTAACATAGACTTGTTTGGGCTTGCCTCAAGAGGCGTGCTACAAAGGCGACTCAGAGAATCAAGAATGCAATATGTTGTATATCACATTAACTACTTGAAGCAATGCAATTAAGGAAAAAAAGAGATTGTGGGTTTTACATGCTTGAAAATGCTTTATATGTTTGCTTTTATTTTTAAATTTTCATTTGAATACACTTTACATGTTATGTTTATGTATTTGAATTTTAGATAATAGGTTTTATAAATCATTTATTTTAAAATTTAAGTTTATATTTTTATTAACATTATGTTTTAATATTTTTTAAATTTTTTGCATTTTTTTTAATTTTTTGGCATTTTTTTTGTAATTTTCTGACCTTTTTTTTATTTTTTAGCTTTTTTTTTTTTGTAATTTTGCACCTTTCTTAAAAAGGCGCGCGCCTCGCCTTGCRCCTTGCACCTCAGGCGCAAATTGGTCCTTGTGCTTTTTTTGCGCCTTGCGCTTTTAAAACACTGGGATTTATGCAACTTCAGTCTTTGAATAGACTACTGCACAAGAGGGGGGAAATTGTTCTTGCTATTCTGTTACAATTAGGAATTTTCTGATACCACCTAGAAGATCTCATATTTCAGATCTTCCAGGTCAAGAAACCAAACATGTTAGGATCAAGCAATCATTAGATGTGTGATCACTTCAGTATTATCCTATCTTACAACTAACAGGACTAACCTGCAACTGCCCAACTATTCCTGTCATCTTGAGACCAACTTCCCTTGAAAATTCTCCCATTGAAGTCCTGAAATCAAATCGATCTGCATCTCGCACCTTGAGCTTCATATACAGATTTTTAAAAGCTTTAGCTTTTGTGTGCCAGGCGCCAACAACACTGTATTTATCTCCAAAACATTCCTTCCCCAATGGCCATCTCAACCCTCCCTTCACATTTGGATCTATAATTGCAGATTTTATTAGATGGCTCAAACTAAGTTTCTCGTCATCCTGAAAACAAATACATTTTGTCAGCATTTTTACAATTTCCTTTTATTTTTATTTCTTGGGGTAGGGGAGTGAATCCTTGTCAGATATTTGGTCAATGAATAAATAGAAAAAAAATCAATAAACCATCATTTATTTCTAAAGAACTAATGCCAAGTATAAGGAAAGGACAACCTCTTGCAGAACATTTTAAGTTATGGATCTTCATGATATTTTCAGGAATACCAAGGATAACCTGCAGGAAAGTGAGTTCCTATAGATAACTATAAGTGAAAAGTCAGATCCAGATTGGAAAGAGAACTCACAGTCAATGCCGTCAAGGTCACCTTAGTGTATAACATCAGTCTCAAGTCTAGATTCTTCTCCAAGCATGATATGTCAGCTACCAGGTGACGCACTGCACTCAGTTCAATCTACAACAAATAACAAAATATGTTTCAAGGKAAGATTACATCAATTATGCTCACATGTTAATAAGTTTGTAATAGAGGGTAGAACCATTGTTTGCAGTTTCGATATTGATGGACATTTCACCATGTAGAGATGGAGAAATTTCAGAGATATTTCGTTAATTTCGCTAAGATGTTTGGAATATCTAAAAAATTAGGAAATTTTTCTAGAAACACAGAATCAGTTAATAAAGCTTCAAGGAATCATTATAATAAATAAAATTGCACATTTGAGACTCAAAAAACCATAGCAAAGAACTGTATAAATCAAATAGGGGAAACCTGAGAGACTTTAATTGATATCTTTCTCGGTTTCCCATTTAGGCTGCATTTGGCATTCCTTATTTTAAGGACTTATCTCCATTTTGCAGTTAAAAATTCAGTGTTCATAGGGGCATTTTAACAGCAAAAGGAGATAAGTGCTTAAAATAAAGAATGGCAAATGCACCCTTAGTCTTTTAGTCATATTCTCTTCATTAAATATGTCAATCACTTGCCATTTTGACCTTTTTTTTTTTTGTTACTATATGTTTTGATTAGTTTGAGAATACTGTTCTGTAGTTATATGTAATTTACTTTTCTTTTGAATTATAGTGACTTGGTAAGTGAATAATATCGAATAGTAAGCAAATTATACAATCACCAATTCCCCATAGGTCTTTTAGGAAAATATTTTTATAAAATTATAATGATTTTAACAAAATATCAAAAACATTTTAATAATATTCTAAAATTTTAAACATTGAATATATAGTCTATCAATGAAAATCTGAAATTTTGCTGACGTATTGGCAAAATATTGTATATATTTAGAAAAATAATTCCCAGAAAATTTTGTATCGCTACCTAGCAAAATGGGGATATGTTGGAGATATTTTACCAATATTGTCAATTTTGTGAAGCATGGGTACAACAGACATTTCCGTTGTTTTGTGATAGGAAGCCCAACCCAACACTAGTAGTTCCACTTCAAAGGACAATATTCCAGAACCAGGCCAAGCTATTAGGTCCATCAAAAATGTTTACACATGTGGCCCATGAAATAAGCCCTATTTTTACCTTGTTATGTAATTCATGGAATCAGCATGTATAAATAGTCTTTCAAAGTAAGAATTATCAAAAAAAGAAAAAGTCTTTCAAAGTAACGAAACAGAAAGCATAAGAATTCTCATTTCAGGAGGTAAAGAGTCCCCTTGAAGAGGCTCCCGTGGTGAGCAATCTCTCATCAACTGCTAGACCTGTTCACAGGCCGGGCTGGGGCCAGATTCAGGTTGGGCTTTGCCTCTTTATAAACAAAAAATGACCAGGCCCGAGCCCTAGCCTGGCCCTATATAAAGCCCAAAGACCAATCTGAACAGAAATTATAATATATAGAATATTAAATAATACTCTTTTCTGTTAATAATAATATTATTAGATAATATTTACTGCCAGAATTTTCTGAGGATGGCATTCTGCAAGTTCAACCCAGTCAAATCATTGATTTCAGATGCATAAACAGTGGAAAGAAGTCAAACAAGCTCCAGTGGTTGGAAACACTCAACTGCAGAAGATGCCTCTTGGGAGACATACACAGACCTGCAACAGCAATTTCCTAACCTCCCCCTTCCAACTAGTGTTATGCATCTTTATTCTTCTTAATATAAAATAGTTTTATTAAAAATAAAGAAAAATGAGATCCCCCCTTCCTCTTCTTCCTCCTCCCCTTCCTCCTTCCTCCTCACCCTCTCCTCTTAAGAAGGCCCCACGCCTCCTTGTGTTCGGGAGGCTTACACCTCTTACGTTCTGAACTATGCCTCACGCCTCTAGGTAGTGGAACGCCTTGCGTCACGCCTCCGTGTTTTAAAACATTGTTATAGCCCTTTAAGACAGGTCAACATTACTTGTCACAGCTGGCAGAAGTTTGCTTCACAGTACCATGGACCTTTCCTATCATGGAGAGAGGGCAGGGTGGCTTACAAATTGGATCTGCCTCCATCATCCAAAATACATTTCATGTGTCATTACTTAAGAAGCATATATTGGGCCATCCACCTCGGTCAGTATGTACTGCCAGAATTTTCTGAGGATGGCATTCTACAAGTTCAACCCAGTCAAGTCACTGATTTCAGATGCATAAAGAGTGGAAAGAAAATCAAACAAGTTCTAGTGGTTGGAAACACTTACCTGCAGAAGATGACTCTTGGGAGACATACACAGACCTGCAACAGCAACTTCCCAATCTCAACCTTGAGGAAAAGGTTGCTCTTCAGGGGGGTGGAGTTGATACAAGTCCAGCCTAGCCCAACACTAGTCTAGTAGTTACTTCAAAGGACAAAAATCCAACACCAGGCCAATGCATTGCATGTCTCTACTATCCCTCTTGACTCCTCTTGAATCATTGATTCAGGAGCTTTAAATTATATGATTGGTAAGTCCAGACTTCTTTTTTATCATTTGTCAAGACAGTAAAACTTGCAAATGATTCTTTATCCTCCATTGCAAGCTAGGGAAATGTCTCCTTTCCAAGTGACCTTCATCTAACCTCTATACTTCTTGTCCCAAAATTACCCATTAAACTCCGTTCTTGTCCTCATTATACAAACTGCAATTTGCAGGTCATTTAGGGCCTTTAACTACCATTTTTTTATCAATAACAGAAATGTTTCATTAATATAGAAAAAGAGGTACAATGGAACACCACGGAGAGAGGTAAGCTCTCTTAACTATCTTCACAATGACAGCTGATTACACTAATTACAACACATGCCAGAAAAGTTGATCCCTTCCCACCTGTTGCTTCGCCAAAGCATTAGAAAATGAATTAGCACTTCTTTTTACCCACTGCAACATAACTTCTACGCTTTGTGTTACCCTTTTGAACTTCCTTTTTTCATTAACATAGTTCCACCAATCAGTCTCCTCCTTTTACAGCCACATCACTACTAACCTTGAATCCCCTTGAATGATCAGCCTTCTTATGTTCAACTCCTTTGCTTTTTGAACTCTTCCATCACAGCCATGATTTCAGCCTTCAATGAATCACCCATACCTATTGGGCCCAAACAGAAAGCAATAATTCTTCCCTCCTCATTCCAAACAACACCTCCCATGCCTGAAGGACCTGGGTTTCCTTCATACTACCATCAAAGTTCAGCTTGATAAACCCACAAGTAGGTGGGGACCATGTCGGCCTGATGACAACTTTAGAGAGAGAACACCATTGTGAATTCATCCGGACCAAGAGCTTTAAATCTATCCATAGAGAAAATTGCTTCTTTGATCTCATCCAAATCAAAGCTCCTCTCCAGCCAACTCTTGAGAGCTATTTCCACCTCCTCTATGGTCCTTATCTTCACAAAATTTTCTCCCTTAGGCTATCTTTTTCCTAGAAGTAAGAAAGATCAAATTTTCTTGTCTTGCAATTTATTGGGGCTATAACTTCAACCATTTAAAGATAGTATGAATGATGGTGTCCTTCTAGGATTTATACCTTTCCTCCCAAAGTTCTACACAAATGGTTGGGGGGAGAATGCTAACTGTGACAATAAAATGACTTGAAACTAAAAATTTGAAACCAAACAAGGAAAAACTTGCTGACAAAGAAATTCTGCAAGGGTTTCTCAAATTCTTGAAGATTGTCCCAGAATTCAGTGCATGTTAAAAATCTAGAGAAGATTCCATTGGGAAGAATCTCATGCATATCATGTGTGCCTGCTTGAGTTGGAAGTTAATTTGTTAGGCTTGCTGGAATTGGCCCAACTTCATGGGTCTGGAGCGCATCCGCTTTCTCTTCTGCCTTGGGCATGGGATACAAAATATTCACATGTAAATATATATATAAATGACTTTTTTATGCCCATAAATGCACGGATATATATAAATACTTAATTACATTCATATATACATCTCAAGTCAACTAAACATGCTATACATAAATAACTACTCCAAAAATTAGAAAATTTTCAAATTTGGTTCTCCTACATTCCCAGTCCCCTACTAGCCCTGGCTCCTACACTCCATATTCTGCTTAGTTGGATTATTCACTAGCCTACATGTATGCATGTCATATCTATATCTTAGTGTCTTGTGCAGAAAGCATGAATATAGTCTGCAGAAAGCATGCAACTTGCCTTGTGTAGTTCTAGTTCTCCACCTTTCAATGCAGTACATTTACATGAAATAGTTGTATCTGGCCGAGACTTGTCAAAAACCTGAAAAAGGAATGAATTTCATAAGCTCATAGACAAATTAATTAACAAGTAATAATCAAAAAGTGAACAACCATAGAGATTTGATCCAAACCATTATGTGACCTTGACAAAAGTAGACAGTCCAACAATCCAACCTAATTCTGTATGAAAACTGGGTCACTGTCCACCTGGTTTGCACTTAACTAGGTCAAACACTAAAGTGTGTGGGAATGAACTAAAAATTACTATGTTGGGTGTCCAAATGCTTTAGGACCTTTATCTTTTTCTTTTCATTTTTCTAATTGGCATGCTTTTGATCAATGTTTTGAAATCCAGACTGGATAGGTTGGTTGAACTGAGTTCAACTGGATTCAGGTCCTTTTATGGTAACTGAAAACCAGGAATAACCAGAACATACAGGTTGAACTGCCAATTGTAATACCAATTGAACCAGGAACCACAGACCTTGTTAGTCTGATCCTTGATCTGGTGTTCAAAACATTGGTTCTGATAGTTCATAGTTAAATAAGATTTTTAAACCATTAATCAATGCTTCCTCCCCCCACCCCCACCCCACCCCCAAGAAAAGAAAAAGAAAAGAAAAGGAAAGAAAGGCCTTAGCAGGTCAACTTCTAATACAAGTTTCACAGTATCAAATCAAACAAATACCTTCACATGGTAATACTCCTTCTCTTCATCAAAATCCACTCCAATATTTGGGGCAACATTGCCTAAAATTCCTTCCATATAAGAACTAGGAAGATTTGTATAAAATGATCTCTTCACACGACTTGAAGTGGATTCATCAGCTAAACTTCTTTTGACATTGTCTAGTGTGACAGAGGGGCTCCTGCATTACATAAATATAGGCTTAATTAAGAAAATAGAAGATAACATATTATAGTCACTTAAGTACAACTTTAAATATGCTATTTATCATTTTAGACATATGTTTTGTTTCATCTCACAACCAATCTCCAATGACAACCATCGAAATAGGAGGCAGATAAGTGAATCTATGAGGTATTGGTCGTACAATGGGTGGGCATCTAGAGAGCAAGGAGATTGAAGCAGAGAAAAGAGAGGCAACAAAGGCTTCTTTGTCTCTTCCACGAGATGGAGAGAATATTTGGTGAAAGAAGCATAGAAGCTGTTGTTTGAAGAAGGTAAAGGTAAAGGACAAATCTCGTTGAAGATTAGACAGAAAGGAAAAGGAACCATTTTTCTGATTGGAGAAGAAATGCAATCGTTGAAAGGTTTCATTGATGGGGCTTTCTACTCTGTCAAAAAAGAGGGTTAGAAGAGCTCTTTGGAGTTACCAAGTATCAAGTTGAACTGAAATGCAACCAAAACATCTAGTTTGCATCCCAGAAGGAAAGAAAGGCAGAGGATGGAAGCTGGTTGTGGAAAAGTTGAAGGGCTTTCTCCTGAAAAATGAAGCAGATGCTTTCAATGAGCATGGGATGGAAGGTAAAGAGAAAGAAACTTCTCAAGGAAAGTCTCCAGAGAAATCGAGAAAGACAGATAACAGTAAGGAGGTTACAGAGGAAAGCATGCAAGGAACGAATCACCAAAATATGGTGGTAGTAAATTCAAGTAGGGTACAGAAATTGCTTCTGGACAATAACAGATGATGGGTAGGAGAAAGGATTAATTATTAAAGCAGGGAAGGAGGTAACTGATTGGGGGATTATTTTAGAGGCGATTGTGTCAAAAGTTAGAGCTACTTCAGGAGTGCCTATCTTCCCATTTGATGACAGGTGAGCTTCAATGGATTTAGGAAATACTGTGGTGGATTTCACAACAGTGGAGACTGGTTTGGGTTTAGTTTACATTGAAAACTGGTCTGTATCCTGCAATACAAAGGAGCTGAATGATGGTTCCTTTGTGATTAAATTGGTAGGACTTCCTTTTTCTCTTTGGAAGAAATCTTATCTCGAGAAGATAGTCATAGTGATGGGCAATGTATTTTTTATATTCTAATACAACCAATCTCCAGCCAGCAAAGGTGAAGATTGCTGGTGTGAAACCTGGCGCTGTTCCAGGATCGCTGGAGGTCTTCTCAGACGAGGTTTGGACGAAAGTCTAGGTAGGAACAAAACATGAAGCATTGCTATAGAGAGAGAGAGAGAGAAAGAGAGAGAGAGAGTCGGGAGGTTGAAAAAGGTGACGAGCTGGCCTGGGGGGATTATATAGAAAAGTGGTTAACGGAGAATATTTTTGAGGAAGGTGAATAGCCAACCAATGGRGCTCATTTCAAGGTTGGTATGGGGAAGGAAATATATTCAAATAATTCTAAAAATAAATTGAAGGGTGTAAGAAACCTTTCTTTTGCCAAAGCAGTTAGAAAGGAGACCACCTCAGATCCTCTGTGGGGCCCAGCTCAAAAGAAGTTTCAAAAGGGGTTGGGCAAAGGTGTAGTGTGTTATGAACCTTGTGAGGTTATTCTCAATACAGGTAAGAACTAGCGCAAAAACCCAGCAAATCAAAACTTGGTGGCTCATGTGATAACTTTAGTGATCACATAAGGCCAGTTTTGAGGCATCCGATTGGAGACCATGGGAAAGCTCTATCATCATCCCAAATCAATGCCCAGGGGAGTTCAAACCCAAGGTCACAGCCAAGGACTTCTTTCCAGTGGGTTCCAAGATTGGAAGCTTTACAACAGAGTTCCAATGAATCTTTAACAGATCGCACTAATCCTAGATACATAAAGAACTGGCTGGACCACTTTGAAGAAGATGATAATGCTCGGGTGGACTGTGATCAATCAGAAGATGAAGGTTCAGGCTCAGAGATGGGTTCTATTGGCAGCAGTTCAGAGGAGAAGGAGATGCAATAGGTAAATTTGAAGACAATCTAAACATTGATTTACTGTTTGTAGACAAAGAAATTTAATGGAAGGAGACCTCTTCTTCGTGTCCAGTGAAAATGAGTGAAGGTACAAACCAGGTGGAGTCTATGAAGGTTGCTAGGGTGGAAAACCAAAGCCTAAACAATGGGACACTGGAACCAAATACTGTTTCACGTTTTCTAATCTTTTATCTTCTCCAACTTTCATGGGATGCTAATTACACGGTAAAGGAAAAAATTTTGGTTGTTATGTTCGACAACTCATGCTGCCAACAGGGCTTTCCCTGTATGACATGTTATTTCATATTAACTCCATGCAACAGTAACAGTAGAGGTGGCAAATGGGTGGGTTGGATTTGGTTGGGTGTGGGTTGAGTACCAACCCACCCATTTTGACCTAATAACCCATTTGCGGCCCATGTTAGTGGATCAAAGTGGATCGCAACCCACTCTGACCCTGACCCACCCTAACCCACCCTTTTGACCCTCTAATTCAAATTAAATTTCTTTTTATTTCTTTATTCTAAATGCATAAAAACATAAAACTATATATTTCAACTAAAAACCATAAAAAAAATCAAATTTTTTTATAAAAAATGCACAAATCAAAAAACACAAAAAGTGGTTAAAAATATATATTTCATGTAAAACATCAAAAATTATAGAAAAATACAAAGAAATTGCGGGGGGGAAAAGCTCAGAAAATTTTGCAAAATTTTCAAAAAGTAAAAAATTTCAAAAAATACATAAAATTATAAAAAAAAACAACTAAAAGGCAAAATTTTCTTAAAAATTGTAGAAGTTAGAAAAATTATAAAAATCAAAAATTGAAGAAAATAAGGAAAATGATAAAACTTTATATATATTTCAAAAAAAAGGCAGAAATTGCATTAAATACATAATTGAAAAAAATTCTAAACAATTATATATTTCAACCCATAAATCATAAAAAAACACAAAATATATAAAATATATAAAAATATATATTTTATATCCAAAAATAGCAAATATTGTAGATTCACAGAAAATTACTAACATTTTAAAAAAGTATAGCCAATCTGAGTTTCGGCTTCTATCAAAATCTACTCAAATTTTCCACGATAAGCAACTACTCTTATTTGAAAATTTCAGCAACCAATTCAATCCTTTCTCTGCAAATTTCCTTACATTTTATGGATGTAATTTTTCTTCCATGGATTCTTCCCTTCTTCCCAGTCTGAGAATTATTCACAAAACATCAAAACAACTTTCTCTCTTCTACCTATATTTCCAATGCCCAGTTCTGACATCATAACGACCTTGATGAACCCATCCTATTATGCATAGATCTGAGTCACAACTCTCATCCACGATCTTAGCCTCCGACGATCCTATCCATCATTTTCTCCTTTGACCTGTATAGATCTGMGTCACCGCTCCCTTCCACAATCTGAGTTTCTAAAATCTGAATGCCCAACGATTCTATCCTTCATTCTCTCATTCAACCTGTACAGGTCTAAGTCACCACTCCCTTCCATGATCTGAGTTTCTGACTTGTATGATCTGAATCACCGGCTTGAACTACCCATGTAGACAAGAGAGAGAGAGAGAGACGAGGTGGAGGCAGAGTTATGATTTTCAAACCCTAAACATCACTATACTGCCTATGGGTACCCATGACCCAACCATTTTCTCTTGACCCAAATGGGTTACTCGACCCATATTGACCCACATGATATATGGGTGGGTCAAGTGGGTTAGGTCAAAAATTGCCACCCTTGAGTAACAGTGCTGAAGGCATAGCTGTATGGGCTAACATGTCACATGGAGAAGAGCCGCTGGAAAACACAGGCTGTGTTGACATGTTATTTCACGGTTGTTGCTGAGGTCCTAAGTAGATTCATCATTAAAGCTGATCTAGAAAACCAGTTCAGAKGATGTAGAAATGAGGTGGTGGTGACTCACTTGCATTTTGCGGATGACATAACTATCTTTTGTAAAGATTGTACTGCGGTCAGCATGAGGAATTTTAAAAACCATAGTTGATAGTTTCCAGAGGATCCCAAAGTTAAAAGTGAATTGGGAAAAGAGTTGTGTGGCTGGTGTTAATATGAGAGAGGAGGATATCCCCTTGTGGGCAGGATTACTAGGTTGTGAGGTGAAAAATTAGTCCCTAGAGTATGCCTTTAGGAGGCAATCCAAGAGCAGATAGTTTCTGGAAACCAATAGTGGAACGATTCACTAGGAAATTAGCAATGTGGAAAAAGAGCTATATCTCTATGGGATGGAGAATTACTTTGAACAAGTCTACCCTAGCCAACTCACCCACCTACTTTTTGTCCACCTTTAGGATCCCAATGAAAACAGCAAGACAGCTAGAAAAATTGATGAGGGATTTCTTGTGAGAACCGGGAGATGAAAAGAAAGATCATTTGGTCAAATGGGAGCAGGTGTGTAAATCAAAGGAACAAGGAGGACTAGGTATTGGGAATCTAGCTAAATGAAACACAATTCTTCTAGGAAAATGGCTTTGGAGATAGGCTTTGGCACAAGGTCATTGAAAGCATTCACAGTGTGGCGGACAATGGCTGGGATGCAAAGCTAGTGCCTCATTCAACCTCAAATTCCCCATGGAAGGCAATTGACTCAGAGGTATTACCATTCTTCCTTAATTTTATCCRGTTTGATGTAGGGTGTGGGGATTGAATCTTATTTTGGGAGGACCTTTGGATTGGGGATACACCCTTAACCTAGAATTCCCTGGACTCTTTTCTTTATCAAAACTCAAGGCAGAACCTATTTCTAGATTTGGGGCAACTTTAGACTCAGGTTTAAACTGGGATTTTGGCTTCAGAAGGGATTTGAGGGATAATGAGTATGATTCACTTATCTTGCTACTTTCTTTGTTGGAAAAGGTGTTTTTGGACCAAAACTCTCTAGATGGCAGGGTGTGGCTTCCTTCCTCAAATGGCCTTTATTTTTATTGGAAATGGTAACTTCATTAATACAACTTAAGAATAACTTTCCAGAGTTAAGTACAGCTGTCAACCCCTAAACAGGTGTTGAGCCCCCAGTAATCTTTCTTACAAAACTGCCCAGAACATTCTCTCCCTCACAGTTCCTTGTTTAGTCAACGTGTCAACTAAACCATTACTGATCTCCTTGTCCATTTGAAGCATGCACCGATCTCCCTTGTTGTGTTGAGGATTTCCCTTATAGGCTGTCTATAAATCCAAGCTCCCAACTTACCAGATTGCAGCCACTCAATCAACAATTTAGAGTCTCCCTCTATCTCAATTTGGTGTAACCCCAATTGTTTGGCATATCTTACATCTTGAAGCAAGGCCATCACCTCCGCTCTCAATGAGTCCCCCACTCCTATTGGTCTTGAAAACATAGCCACAATTCTGCCATTTTCATATCTGAATACTCCTCCTATACCTGAAGGGCCCGGGTTACCTCTAGAACTCCCGTCCATGTGCTTCATTTTTCAACCTACTCACTCACTCTGGCTCTTTGGGGGTAAATTTCCCAGTAAGAGAAATCTGGTGCAAACCAACTCCTCCCAAAATACAAACTCTTTGCTGGGAAGTGTTCCTTGGAAAAATTAACACTTGTGACATGCTACAGAAAAGAAGGCCAAATAAGTGTCTCTCTCCTCATGTGTGTATCCTTTGTAAGGTTTGTGGAGAGACCCTTCCTCATTTACAAATCTCTTGCTCTTTTGTGACTTTTTCTATTCTCTCTTTGGTTGCAAATGGGACCCCCGTAGGATATGGTTAATTTATTCAACCCCAACTTCTTGAGGCAACAGGAAAAAGGAGAAGATGTTTGTGGAAGACAGTAAGGGCAGCCTTGGTCTGGACTATCTGGGAGGAAAGAAATAACCGGATCTTCAATGGAAAGATAAGATCCAAAGAGGAAGTGATTGAATCTATACAAGTTAGATCAGCACACTGGGTGAAAACATTGGATCTCTTTAGAGATGTTTCTACAAATGATATATTATGGAATTGGACTGAAGTGGTACAGACAAACATACATAAAGAAATAGTGAGAATGGATTGGAAACCATCAGAGGTAAATAAGCTGAAATTAAATTTTGATGGTAGCTCTTTTGGCAATCCAGGAAGGGCAGGCATAGGGAGAGTTATCAATAACCATCAAGGAGTAGTAAAGTTCTCTTCTCAGGACCAGTAGGCTTTGGAGACTCGGTTCTGGCTGAAATTATGGCCCTGCTACAAGGTTTAAAAATAACCTCGCAGATAGAAGTTAGAGATTTGGAAGTGGAAGGAGATGCTTTTTTGGTGATTTCTTGGGCAAAGAATATACAGTCAACACCCTAAAAACACAGATTTGCATTCAGGGAGATTGATCATCTTGCAAGAAAGGTTAATGCAAAGTGTGGATGGGTAAGAAGAACAACAAACAGAATGGTAGATGCTTTAGCAAAACAGGGGGCAGATAGACCAGCCTTGTTTTGGGCAAAGCTGTAACTGATGCAGTGAAAAAGAAACTGGATGGCCTATGTATTTGAAAGCTTATTGTTCCTTGTAATTTGAGCAACTCTTCAGTAGAACAATTGTAAACTTCAATTTAATAAATAAAGTTTATTTGCTGATCACAAAAATAAGGTAAATATATATATGCAATAATTTGTATATTATAAGTATTTTTAAGTTCAGACTCCGAGTAATATAGTATTAATTCCTTTTTTATCAACCAAAACCTTTCACTAACTCGAAAAGTAAAAAGATAAAAATAAAACCAGCACAAACAAAATATCCAACATGTTATTACCCAACTACTTTGCTTCAGGTGAGAGTATACCCAATAAAATTAATTGAACTGTGAATATTACCCATGTAAGAGAATTTTGCCAAATCTAGCCACAAAAGAAGGCTTTATTTCTTCTGATTCATGGAATTCCATTTCATTCCAAACACTTCGGTAAGATGTGAGGAGATGTGGTTGTATCATCTGTGCTATGGATACCCATGGGCTTCTTCTAGAGTTCCCTGTGGTCTCATTAAACTCTAGCAAAGCAAACCAACAATTATTATTAAATTAGTTACCATTCAATAAGCAGAAAGACATAAATAACAAACCATATATATTTAGCAAGGTTCATACCTTTTGGTGGATGTGCACATACTAGAACCAGTGGCTTTTCTCCATTTTTCCGCTCAATGGATTCACAAGAAACTGGCTCCAGCCTAACTGAAGCAGGAAATTGATCATCATCTATCAAACCAATTACCCACCATCTATTTATTGAATGTTTTGCATAAATAATCTTTCCACCTTGGGAAGAATGTTTATCTTTCCTCTTCTCTGAATTATATTTAGAAGACTTCAGAGTCAAATTTCTTTCAAATTGGGGAACAAGCACATCTGGTGTAGGGGATGGCCTGTCTGCATCTTTTACATTTCTCTTATGTGGAGGGATGTATGCCATAAAGATAACCACAACTTCATAAGACTTCAATAACCTCTGGAAAAAAAATAAGGATGAAATTTTATTGTTAAAGGGCATACATATATATTTAACAGAATACATGGTATGAAACCCAAGAAGAAAACCATGGTAGCAAGTAAATTTGACAGAACACGCGCGCACACACACACACACAGAACCGTGCAAGCTTTTTGGCACTAGCAGAGTGTAGCTAGGAGAATGAATTGTTTGTTTCAGAACTTACCAATAGTGTAACTGGAAAAATGAAGTGTTTATCCAGTTCAAGATACCCAAAAATATAAACCATTTTTTGGTGTACAGGAAAAAAAAAAACTCATAGTTATGGGGATTCAATCGGTTGAGTCAAACATGGAATGTCCAACCTGGATACAAATTTAAATCAAGTTTATTGATAGATTCTAATCCAGCATCCGTAAGAGCCTTGCTAGCCATTTATTTTCAAATAATTTGGTTGCATCAGGATATGTTAAGGTCAAATTTCATTGCCAACTTAGAAACAGGGGAAAGAAAACAACTCTGATTCAGAAACTTAGCAAGTCAAGCAAGAAAGTCATCTTTCTTTTCCTTTTTTGTATTATTGTTCTTGGAGGGGGGTGATTACCTCTAAGAATCATCCTAGAGGCTTTGAAATATCAAACACAATATGAAGCTGGGCCATGACAATGGTTATACAGCTCTTCCAGATCTGATAAAGCAGTCATAACATAAGTTTCAAATTCCAACTTTGGGTAAACCAAGACCCAATGCTTCCTCCCRTCTAAGATGCATTGCAAGAGCTTCAGCTTCTTTGGGTGATCTGCAATTGTCTCTTTGCTCTCTTGCAGAGATTGATCTACCAAGATGTTTGCACACCAGGATCATCTAATCTACAATATATAAGAGAATGCAAGCCCTAAACCTAATTTCTATATTGGTCCATGAACCAAACTCCAATCAAATAAAGTATTAACTAAATTAAATCATAATTGAATATATGAAATCTAAATCTACTCTTATGCACATTCACTTGCCTTTTTTGACAAGCATATTCACTTATATATTTACTTCAATAATATTAATATCTAATAATTTGACCAAATGACAGTTACAGAAGTATCGAACTCATTTGCATTTCCCCTAAAGAACAGTAAAATGAACCCATATTGGAAAATGAGTTCAGGATTCAAATGCCATGAAAAGCTAAAAACAAAATGAGTCATTTCAGTAGCAAGCATACATTGTATATTAGATATATGTCATCAATAGATCGTGTTGAATTAAAAAAAAAAAAAAAAAAAAAAAAAAAAAAAAAAACATAAAAATAGACGATCCGATCAAGTGTCAAATTTTATATAAACTGTAAAAAAAAAATACTCAATATACATATTCAGAGTGAAAACTCTAATCAATTTAATCTCATTGCAACATCATAATTAAATAAAACTGAAACTAATTATATTAACAACGTGAACTGATCACTCCATCCTATAAACATGGATAAATTTAGATAGATAAGAAGAAACTGAACTAAATTCATCGAAAATATTGATGAGAAGTTTGAGATTTGGAAATTTCACCTTTGGAGGAAGAAGGCCCGAACCCCCGAACCGCAGTCACTAAAACCCTATAAACAGATTGTCAGATTTTCTTTGTTTTCCTCCGTTCTCTCGCGACTCGCTAGATGCCTCATGCCTAGAGCCAAATTTTACGAGGTATGTCTAACGAAATGACGATTCCCCCTTCATCAAAAGTGTGTAAAACAGTGCTGTCTTATCGTTGTTAGGGATGGCAATTTCTAGAACTGAACATTATTCGGCTAAAACCGATATCGGTTCGGTTTTTTTATTTTTGTTTATTTTGGCTCGTGAAAAGTTCAATTCGGCTTGGTTTTAATTGAGCTTCGAGCCGAGCTCGACTTCAATTCACGGGTTCATTTATTAATCGAATCGAGCTTGGGCCAGTTCAATGATAATGATGAAAATAATAATAATAATAATAATAATTGATGGAGGATGATTTAACCCGACCTACTGAGATGATGACATGTGGACCTGACTCAGTATGAGCAACAGYTTAGATTGTAGCCTAACCACAACTAAGTGATGAGTCTATAGAACAGTTCGCTACTTCATATCTCGTTGTAGGGGGAGCTCACTACAAAACAAGTCCAAGTCCCCCAAGCTACTAAGGAAACCAGCTCGCTCYAGCCTTTAGGCAGAAGAATCACCCCAGAGACCAACCTTGATAAGGGTCATCTCAAAACACCCCTAAGCTTGCTACAAGGTAAATCGCTACGGAGGAGCTTGTGACTAAGCAACGCAATGTTCTTAAGAAGCTTCTGCTTGACAAGACCGTACCGATCAGACTGCTCCACGTCTCTCGACTGACGGCACAGCCCTTTCAACAGTCTGCACCCACGTCTCTCGGCAGATGGAGCCATGCCTGCCCCTTTGGGACGTGTCACTCACCCAAGCGGGTAATACGTTATAACGATCACCTGCGCAGGCCTGACAGGTAACGGTTACGATAGGAGCCAGTGGCGGTTATTGCCCAATTTGACAAGAACGCCACTATAAAAGCCCTTTAGGCGAAGGGGAGAAGGGATCTTGAGATACTTTTGACACTTACACACTCTCATACTCTCAACTTGAGTCCTTACTTGCTCGCGAGCTAACCTCTCGAGTACAGTGATAAAGCACGACCTACACTCTTAGCTTTTTGCACTCTTTTCTTCCTCTCCAGCGTTCTAACTTAAGTTTCGGAGTATTCCCGTCGGGCAAATCCCCGGGAATCCTTCTTCTTCGTCTTCTCAGGTGTCGTCCACCGCCAACAAGGAGCCAGTTAGTAGCATTCTCGGATCGTGCCACATCAATAATAATAATAATAATAATAATAACAACAACAATAATAATATAAAATTATAGAAAATAATATATATATATATAATAAAAATATTATATGTATAATATTTTTACTTTTATATATAATAATAACAACTAATTATTATAGTTCTTAATTTTTTAAATATCAAATAAAAAATATTTTTATATATAATTCTTTTATTTTTATAAAGCATTTTTCTCAAGTCGAGCTTGATCCGAGCCGAGCCGAGCTCGAGCTTATGAGCTTTTGACTCGATTCGAGCTCAAACTTGAGCTCAAGCCTCGTACTACCTTGGCGAGCCGAGCTCGAATAACTAGTTATTCAGCTCGGCTCGGCTTGAATCCACCCCTAGTTTTTAGGTTTTAGAATTCAATTAATTAGAAAAAAAAACAAATTAATCGAATTATATATATATATATATATTAAGGTAAAATACAAAAACCTCCCCTCAATTTTCTAACAATCTTAAAAACTTCCCTGAGTTTTGATTTCCTGACTTTTTTTTCTGACAAAAAAAAAGGCTTAGGAGATGCGTTATTTTTTTAAATGCCACTTTTGCCGAAAGACTGAATTACCCTGAAAAAGAAAAATTCCAATATAGAACTTTCATTTTTTCTAAGGCTTAGTTTGGAAATTTCCAATATACTTCAACCTCATCAAACAATGGAGTTCAACGAGAGATGCTTATAATAGACTTCCCATATTCTTATAATATTTTAATGTCTTCTTCTAAACGAAGATTTTTGTAAGAAATGGAGAGGAAGAAAGTTCACAGAGAGCTTCCGCGCCGTTAGTCAATATTAGGTCAAGAATAGACACTTTTTAGTCATTTACAGATCTCTCAATCATGAATTACAACGATYCTCTACACGTTATATATATTATACAACATATATTTTTTATATGTTATATAATATATAWAGTGTTGAAATTTGATTTTTAACCGAAATAACCAAAAATTGGATTGAAATTTTCAGCTTTTCAATATTTTGGTTTCGGTTTGGTTTTTCATTTCGAATTTCGGTTTTACAAAGTTTGATTTTTTAACTGAATAAACCGTTTGTTCATCCCTAACCATTTCTACCCTACCTAGAGGTGCCCACCCCAACAAGGAGGATTTTTTCCTTAAAAAATGGATTTTAGAGTTTGGACAGGTTTTGGGATTTCATAACTCATATGAATATGAGTAGGGCATTGTTTTAGGCTAAACCTAATTCTTCCTAACCCACATATTGTTGGAAGACATATGAACTCATGTATAGGGGTTTAAAAGATCGAATTTGTATCGAATCAGGCAATATCCAAATGCGAATCTGATTAGAAAATCTGATATCTGAATTCAATTCGATATTCAATGGATATTGAAAATTAATATTTGAATATTCAATTCAATTTGAATTCGAACAATTAATTATTTTAGGTAATTAATGAAAATATAAAACAAATATTTTATTTATATAAAGTATATAAATATATAAATTATATAAAACATTTCAATATTTTATCAAATCGAATCCGGATAATTATCGAATCAAATCAGGTCATATCTAAATTTGAATCCGATTAGCTATTCAATATGAATAGGATATCCAAATTCAACCGATTAGATATTTGAATTATCTGAATTCAGTTCGATTATATTGAATCTCAAATTTGAAATCGGGTTTTCAAATACCGTTGATACCCCTACTCATGTATTAGGTGTTAAATGTAATAACATCTTGAAATTTATGTGAAGGATAATTGATAGTTTATGTGTTTTTGACATGTTTTAATTAACTAATTGGAAATTTTGATATTTGTTCATGTTGTTTTACTTGTTTATTGCTTATATATAACATGAAATAATAGGAAATTATATTCAGGTTTTAGACCTAAACCACCCCACCCTCAAATTAGAGGAAGGTACAGTCAAGGAGGGTTTGGAAATCCAATTCTTTATAGGTTTTGGGTAGGGTATGGGTTGGGAGGTCTTGGGAAGTGGGTAGGGTCTATAAGTTACAAAACCCACCCCAAACTCATCCCATTGCCATTCCTAATTGTTGTTCTAGATAGAACTAGGGCTGCAAGTTGTGTCGGGTTAGGTCGGGTTGAGGCCAACCCTATGTTCTCCCAACCCAACATTCAACCTGACTTGCCCAACCCAACCCAATGTCAACTTCAGGTT